AAACTATTGAAGCTAGCAAAGAATTTTTACATGGAAATTGTAGATCTCGTCGTCCTCTACAAGAAAGGTCCTATGCAATTTTCCCGTATCTCCAAGGGTTTAGGAGTTATTGAGGAAAAACGAAATTTTTTTCCAAAAGTTCGCCGTTTCGACGCTGGGATGGTCGGATTTTGTCAACATCAATAAAATGCCAAATAATCATACTTAACTCATTAAATATCGAAATTAGAAGATAAATGCACTATTTTTAATGATAGGAAATGCGTTTTACTAAGGTACATAAACTTTTAGGATTGACTGTATAGCCAATACATCCTTAATGCGCCTCTGATCAATCAAGTCGTCATCCGTCTGTCGAGTTAGCGCTTAACAATTTTTTTCCAATGAATTCTTTCTCACCGAGGCCGCGTAAATAATTCTGTAAGCGCTCTTATTCAAGAAAGGAGCTGACAAGCTTGAAACTGATTTATCGCTTCAGATACTGCGCGATGCTGGCAAATTTATAGTTAATTATAACTCCCGCGTGAAATTTCATCTTCGTAACGCCAGCTTAAAATTGTGATGCGTGAAGAATTTCAATAAAACTAGGAGTTCTTTCATGAAAATGTCACGAATTTTATATTACATTGCTTACATACTCTATTCGATACATACATCAAGAGAGAACGTATCTGGTTCCTATGGGCAAAGTATGTTAAAGTCCAGAACGAAAGCTGGCTACGTAAAATTATATTATCAGCTTTAGGGGACATATTTGAGGTAATCCAGCCCTCTTTCTCTTTGTGGATACGTAATTCCTTCTATTACCCTTACTTTCAGCTGAGTTTCATGGAATCTTATCTCTCATCAAATTGCATTCTAGTTCCTTTGATACCAGTTATAATCCAGTTCAATTTCATAGTAAATTAGTAAAATCATTGGAATGTTGAATTGGCTTAAAAATTAAATATGCTTCCAGTCGATTACTTCTTCATTTAATTTTGTATTGCAAAAATGATTTTTAATTGTCGATGTATATCTTGTTACAGGTACATGGCCATCATGAACCCGTTGAGGCCTCACATGGGCAAAAGGGCGACGATTTGCATAGCCATCGTGATTTGGATCGTGGGCGCGATCCTCTCGCTACCGATGTTACTCTTCTACACAACGTATACGCAAAATTTCGCGAACGGCGAAGTGCGGGTGATCTGTTACGGGGATTTCCCCAGCAGCGACGACGACAGTCTCAACTACGGCGAATATCTGTAAGCTGCTTAAGTAATTTGCATCCGCGTTTTACGAGTTAATCAATTTCCACTGGAACAGTTCATATAAGAACCGATGAAACTGCTTGGTGAATCGCTTTTATAATCCCTTTGTTCAAGCGAAACACTTAACGTCGTAATGGAAAATATTATTCCCGCAGCAGCATTTACAGCGGGTAAAGTTCAATAAATTTCTCCCAAGAGGACCAGAGCACTGAATGTGCACTGGCGATATCGTGTTGTCGGAAAATACGAATGGATTAGCTTTTTATTGAATTACCAAACCGCTCCCCCGTGCAGTTCTATAGAATGTTTAAAAAGGATCACCGAGATTCAATAACCATTCACTACTACCCGTAAACCAAATCGTTTTTAACGGAATAAATATGCAAATGAACGATCAGTGAAAGGAAAGAACAATTGGAAAGAAACGTCGATAGACGAGGTAAATATAAAAGTAGAATCGGTCTGCAAATGTCAGGTGCACAACTACGGTAAACGACTGAAAAAGATCAGACGATAACGCGGTTTCCCGAAGGAGCATAACGAGAAAACTGATGCTTTTCACCGCCGGTCATAGATATTATCTAACGACTGGTTTACGACGTATAAACGGACAAGTCTGTCGGTCAGTAGGTCTACTATAAAACGCGTACCACCCTTGCTCTGTCACCGACATATTGCGGCGGCGGTAGATGGGATTTTCATTGCACTAAAAAGGAGAGCTCGTTACTACAATCATCTTATGCAAACACGAACGTGACACAACTGAAATGTTTGTACAGATATAGAGAACGCGAGATAAACTTCCATACCTTCGCAACACATCCGATTATCAGTGGAATGAAATGCTTTATCATTTCAAACCTTTTAACATATGATGATTGTACGATTAAGTGCATCTGCACGCTATTCTTTTCGATCGACAGAACATGCAACATTCAGTTCGTTTTTCACAATTATTCTCGTTTGAAACTGGTAAATGTTAGCAAGTTCAGTTAATTATACTTCCTTTCTATTATTAATAAAGCTGTGTCAACGAACCTACGCGTATCTACGGGTATGAAATAATTATGATCAGAAAGCAATTTCGCATTTGCAGAATAAACGGAAAATGGCTTTAAAGAGTGTATCGTAGGCAAGCATTCAAAGGCAAGGAAACAGTTTGCAATTTCTTCGATGTAATGGCCTCGAACAAACACTCTGTATGAAGTCTCATCAGTGTTACTTTTAATTACCGACCGGAACTGATAAAACTGTACTTTAGACTCGTATCGATCCGATGGGACGCAACGCACGAACCTATTCCCTCGCCTTGGGCTCAGAACTCATCGAAACCGAAATCTTTTATCTGCATTATACGCGTTCGTGCAGAAAACCATTACTTGGTTCATAAAATCTCTCACGCGTTAAAGCCGCAAATATTACGTATATGCAAATCGATTTATTATTAGCGACACGATCCTTTTCCGCGTATTCACGAATTTCCACTCAGATTTACCAAAGCTTTGAAATAAAATATTTCGGTATCCAAAATGTAATTTTCATTAATCAAATAAATCTATCAAATTAAATTTCATTTACCAATTTAATGGCGAAATAATTAATACAAAATTAAACAAATTAATTAAAAAATATTAATCAGCTATAATTGAAATGTTTGACAATAAATCAAATCAACTGTGCTTGGAATCGAAGTTAAATATTGAAATCTCGCATGTGTCGCGCGTTTTGACATGGGACAACAGTCGTTTTAGGATTTGATTTTCACACGAAAGCTTCGTTTTACAACTACGATAATACAGTTAACGAACAGCGTAATGAGAGACACATTTAGCGGTGCATCAAGTAGAATACTTATCATGTTACCTGTTTCTCCGCTTTGATGGAACTGCGGGGTATTTTTCATCTCAATTTACGTCCTCTCTCGCGTAGTTGTTTTAACAAGCTGTCGTTTACACAAACCCTTTAACATTCATTAGTCACTCAATCTATTTTCCACCTCTTTTTTAAATACACAAAGTTTATTTGTATCAACATTGACAAATTATGATTTATCATAACTTATCTATTCTCCCTCTCTCTCAAACTAATTAATTTGTACTATTTTTAAGATACAACAATTTTATTCATGTTTTACAACTACCATGTTATAAAACTTGATACTATCTGTTCTCAGGTATAATGTCATCTTTACGATACTGACATACTTCTTGCCAATTGGCTCGATGACGTATACATACGCCAGAATCGGTCTGGAGCTATGGGGCTCGCAAAGCATTGGCGAAAATACTGCAGGACAGTTGGAAAGTATACGAAGCAAACGGAGGGTACGTAAAATACACATAATTTCCATTTAACCTTGTCTGAGCAAGAGAAATTATTATTGAAAACCGAGCAAGAATTTATGTACATACAATGGAATATCTTACGCAAAATTACAATAGACCATAGAGGAATATTTAATTTGAAAGATTGATACGTGACGTGGATGCATGCACACGGGAATGCACCCGGTAGAACGAAAACAACAATGAAACAATAGAGAGCTCTTATCGTGCTTACGAAATCTGCAGCGAAACTGTACAAAGGATCTTGATTAATTAACTTTACGCAATTACCCTAGGGCATCTATTGCATCCGTCAGACGACGATAATACGACATCACGTTTCTATTTACACCTAAACGCCGTTCATGCATTCTTATACAAAACGATAACAACTTACAAGCTGACTGAATATTGGTCATACAGAAAGTCGTAAAAGAAGCTCGTCGCCGAACTGTGTAAAGCTCAAATCTACAGGGGATTTCATAGCTTCCATCTCTGCGTTCCCAGAACGAATAACGCGAAAGATTTTAAAACAGTACACCAATCTCTTCGGGTAATGACAGAAACTTAAATTTCCTCGCGCTTAACTTCTCAACTCGTCACAGAATTCTTATCCTCTTTTTAATAACTACTCCTTTTTATCTTTCAGTAATCACGAACTTTATCCTCAATGATTTATGTTTGTCCAACTTCGTTTTCCCTGCTCTCTTCTTTTTTTTATAGTAAATCTTTCGTTCAGAATTCTTCAGCGGATTACCTCGCAACTTCCAAAGTGATATCGATTCTAAAGCGACGTCAATTATATCTACACGTGAACCGGAAGAAATATGCCCGAGCTTAGCCTCCGGATTTAAACTACGAACACGCTAGGCGGTACACGTATGCAACGCAGAATCACGCTATAACTTTTAATCAGAAGGTGCACTAAGTTACCGCACCTTCGCACATACTGCATTATTATTATTATTATTATTATTATTTATAGAACAAGATATACCAGTTCCTTTACTCACGAATATTTAAAATAGACTTTAGAGTTCGATACGTAAATAAATTATCTTCGAAGCTCCTTTAATTCATCACTATTTCACGAAGCTCTGTTTGCTTTATTAACTTGCATTATGATAGGAAGTAAGGATTAAGCTTAAACAGAATTACTGATTTAATCTGGAAATCTTCGGGAATTCATTTACGCACGTATCCGCAAAAGATTATGCAACATCTCAAGAGTCTCGCATACATCTCGAAGTTAATACAGATTTCTTATATAACATTTAAGCGTTGAAAAAGGAAAGACAGGAAGAGCAAACATCAGTCGAACAGTCATTTAATTAAATGAAAGTGGAGAGGAGAGAAAGAGAGGGCCAGGGAAGAGTGTTCCGTGCACACACAAGCATGAGAAAATGTTCTGCAATCTTCTGCCCTGCACAAGTGATCCTATTGGATTTCGATTAAGCGACAAAGAGCTGTCGTTTCCTTTTATATTCGAAATCGCTAATCTATGTGCTCATGTATGTAACAACACAAGATTCTAACGGTTGAATAACGAAAACTTGCCATTTTAGAAGAGTCGAAGAATACCCGTGAAAAATATTTAAATTTAATAGAAATTTCTTCGCGAATTTAATAAGTAAACGAAAAAGTGAGACTTGTGTTTGGGAAAATGAAATTATTGAAAGCAGAGGAGTGGCTTAATACATAAGAAATGCGTCGGGTTACATTAGAGACATAACTTAATGCCGCGGCTAACAACTTGACAATTTCTGACTAGAATTCCCGGGAGTAAAAACTAAGAAACTGAAGTCATCAATGTTGAAGTGACTCAAGGGACGTTGACGGTCTCGTTAAATGCGAATGTGACCCACATGCCTAGTTACACGAATAAACATAATAGACAACTATAATTTTCCAAACAACGAAGCGAACCATTCCAATGAGTACAAAGAAAATTATATTAACCGAATGGAAAAATATTTATCGTAAAATTTGAAAAGTTCACTTTTTTTTACATAATTGCAATTTTTAAATATTCCGAATTATGGAACTAAAACGAACTCGATTAAAACTATCTCTTCACTAGTAATACCTATTATAATCTTGCACGTGTATTCGTTTAATTTTCAAAACGAACACACGTATACGAAAATAGATTCACGTGTGCGTGGGAGGGAAGGGTGCAACAAAGTGTACTTCTATATAGTCAGCAGTGAACCGTAAAAGCGAGAATTTAGGGGAATTGACTTGCATGGTACAGCCATATGGCTGCAAAAAATTATAGTTGAACTCCTATCCAATATCCACTTTTTAAACATGATATGTTTAATTGATAAATAGAACAGATATAAAATTCCATCGATTAGACAAGAAATCTAATGTCAATTTAAATAATGTGATAATAATAGTCGTGATTGTAGATATGCATTACAATTGTAGACATGTATCTGTTTCAGGTTGTGAAAATGATGATCGTGGTGGTAGTAATATTTGCGGTATGCTGGCTACCTTTTCACGTATATTTTATCATAGCGTCATATTTTCCCGATATTACGAACGAGCCGTACATCCAAGAAGTTTTCCTAGGCATTTATTGGCTCGCAATGTCTAACAGCATGTACAATCCCATAATCTACTGTTGGATGAATTCCAGGTAAAATGTTACATTAAGGCATGTAAAGATTCGTTAATTGAGTAAACACTTGTTGAAAACCACACAGTAAATACACTTAAATCATTTACTAAATTCACACGGAATGCATTACTCATAGGAATTCTAATTCTGCTACGTCTAGTCGTACGGCACATATCAAAAAACCGCATAAACCATCAAGACAAATTCAGGTAACATTGTTCCGCCCACAAACTGAATGAAACGGGTGCCGGATGATTGATTTGAAAATAGCCATTTACCGTGTTCCATTTATACGTCATATACAGGAATTGTTCCGGGAATTTTACCGTATACCGATGTCATCGTTCCGTGACAAACAACTGCAATGCTACTATCGTCCGTAACGAACAATTCTCTCACAATAGACGACTAGCACTCGTAGTTAAAACTCGTACACGTGTAGACACCTCAGTTAACGCGCAACAAGAAAGGAAATACATAAAACGTACCTCATGCTCTTTCATATTCCAATAAAAGTTTCGCGCTGAATGTATGTCCAACGATATTTTGTTTGAAATACGTTGTTAAACTAAATTGTGTTTTTTCGAATCAAATCCAATTTCCCACGGGTCTCCCGATATGAGAATAAAACGCGGCCGACCGTGGTTACTACGTGGTATTTAATAAAACAAATCCGTTTGTCCATTGTTCGTGATAGGAACCGATTTTCGCATTGCAGGTTCCGGCGAGGCTTCGCTCATTTCTTCTCATGGTGTCCGGGTGTGAAGGTTCCCGCGGAACCGGCGTTGTCCCGCTCGGAAGCACTGACGTCGCGATACAGCTGCACCGGAAGTCCTCAGACTCACAGCAGGATATCACGGAACGGTACGTCCTCCTGCACATCCTCGGAACGCCCTTGCACCACATCGTCCACGACACCCACGAGCGAGACACGCTTCGAGCACAACGGACACGGCGCACGAAATTCTTACATTAATTTGCACCGCATCACCGGGTCTAGCGTCGCCGTCGGCGAGGCCGACGCCGACGTGAAACACGAGTAACGAAACCGAGACGTCGATTCAGTGCGCTCGGTCACAGGTAGTTTCTCACACGAAACAACGATCGGCGTAAACGAGAAAATACCGAACCAAGAGATTATAACAGATCCGATACAATTTCTCTCGTAATTTCGCGTGAAATGGCTACTTGGAACGATCATCACACTTCAGGGTCTAAAATAAAAACGACTTGGATGTATGGTATACGAGTCACTTTTTACAACAACCGTTCGTCACGTTATAGATCGCGTTCCTTTAGAAATACTCGGTACAATGAGATTATTTTTTTATCGTTTAATCTACAATATACGTGTTAGCTTGTCTAAGGAAGAATCACGTAAAGAATAACAGTATAAGACTTTTGTACAATTCATTAAAATAAACATTGTTCAATGCATTTTAGACCCTGGCATTATTTTCATCCGAATTCATAAGAAATATTCAGGATATGGGAGCTTGAAGTTTTCTTCCAAATGTATTAAAATAGAATAAATGAAATTTTAATAAAAAAAATTACTAACTAGAATTAGACTCCGCGCTTCGAAGAGCAAACGAAAGTTGTTTTTATGAATGCTATCTATCAATAACTTCCATTGCCCATATACGATTAGCGATCCACACATATCTTTACGTCAGTACATACTATTACATACTCTGTCGCTACATTGCAATGCGAAATCGATACGCAAGATAGGATGTATCGATGCAAACAAGGCCTGTTTCTAATTCCAATAGGCACGGCGCGAATACCTTTGTACCTGCAGTCTTCAAGAGGAGGGAACGAGCGGTTTTTGGCTCAGCATCGCGGGAGGAAATGGAAAACCTCGCAAGCGAGTGGGCATGTATCTTGACAGGAAAAGGAGGATCCTCAACAGCAACGAGTACATACCTGGATATAAGGGAACACATCCTAAGCAGCGCGCCTCTTCAAGATCCATCTGACGCCGGTGAAATAAGAGGAGCCAGCTGAGAGGATCGACGTCCCTCCTTCATCGAGCAGACCCCCGATATTGACCAAAACGAGAGCTCAAACATTATATCGATTCGATTTGATACGAACGTTAACTATCCGCTGAATAAGTAAATAACACTCCTGTCTTGATGTGAGCAAACGTTGGATCGAGGTTCGACGCGAGGAAAAGAGCCCCTTCGTGCCCGCAATTTAATTTTCATTTGTATCCATTACGATAACGGACCAATGATCTATAAATGTACCCATCTATCTATACACGTTGGAACGTCCTAGCGCGAAACAGATCGAATAATTACGATTTTGTAACGAGAAGTGAATTTCGGATACAGACATTTCGTACGTAATGTTTCTTTCTAAAACAAAACTATTTAATCAATCCTGTTCCTATTATACTATATTGATCACGGTGATCAAGTCGTAGCGAAGATATTATACAATTTTCAGTAAAAGAAGATACTTCCTATTTCAGGAAGTGTAGTTTCTCTTTAAAAAACAAGAGCGAAACATATATTCTTGACGAAATTTTGCTACTTAACTAAGCGAACCTGCATTTCACTGAACTATCGTTGCTTTAAAGAAAATTTGTAAAATATCGTAGTCGGTAAAAATGTGAATAATACGTATTCCTTCTCNTTTCAGCTGTAATATAATGCGAAACAAGAACACTCTGGGAAAAACAAACGCTTTTTAATGAACTAGTTAACTGTAGTAGGTATACGTGACTAATAATTGAATGTAATGAAAAAAAAGTAAAAGATAATATATTGTTCGATATGTACAAAAAAAATATGTGAAAATATGTTAATGTAAGAGGCCATTGCTTTGGTTTGCTTTCTAAATTTAACTGTACTGCCAAAATGAGCAAACATTATGAAAACGAAGAGAGGAAATAAATCTGTAATCTAATTTTCATCTGTTTTATACGAATACACTAATTCAAACCTCCCTTAACGAATATGGTCAAGAAATGAATGAAGAATTTAAATATAAATGAAAATCATCCTTTTATCAAATTTCCTAACACATTTTTATTTGGTATCCCTATGTTTCATGTTCAATATTCTATTTCGAATAAATAAAAGTTAGATTGGACTAATATATTTCTAAGGTGGAGCAAATAGAATCCAACTCGTATAATATCACGTATATTATTAAATATTGACATATTAACTATTCTAATAATATCTAATGTGCAGCAACATCTTTATCATCTTTATGCATATCTGTTGGTACAAAATATTCAAAAGAAAATGGATACATTCTATCAGTATACATTAGACCCTGCAATAATAAACATTTTTATAATGATTAACCCCTAGAGTCGCCCATATCGTTATATCGTTGATCAAAACACAGTAGGAATTTATTTATCAAAGTTAAAAAGTATAAAAATTAAAATAATATATAGAGACAATGAAAGGTGACTTACTTGCAAATGATCCATTTCGTGCTGAGCAACCCTCGCTGTCCAATACTTCGCGCTCCAAGTAAACGGCTCTCCAAATCGATTCAGTGCTTTGATCCGAACTTCCGTAGCCCTCGGCACTTCCGCGTAATAACAACGAAGACTACCGCACGTCTCTGGACTCGAAATTATTTCTGGGTTCACTATTTCCATTGTTGGATTAACGAAGTACGTCAACGGATGACTTTCCATTTTGCAAGTTTCACGTATGTACGGGTGTATATCGCTAAGAGATTCTTCTGTTATTTCCATCGCGAATAGTTGCAAAGATAAACCGATCTGCGGAGCTGCTAATCCCACTGCTCCATACGCTTTCATTACTTTATACAAACGATCGACAGTCTATAAAAAGAAGACAAATACAAGAATGTATTTTACGAAAAATATATAACTTGTTAAGAACTTTCATTTATTATACTCCATAATATTTTTATCAAAATAGTATATTTTATAAGAAAGAGCGTACAAAAATGATGTTCCAAAAGTTTTATTCGAAGTTTTATAAGCATTTGTAATGACAAATAAGACAAGTCTGGTATTAGTTTAAAACTGCATGAAGCTATCAAGTCTTTAATCCCACATGCTGATTCAAAGTTACGAACACTCAATAACTCCGAAGAGATGTTCGCGATAACTATAATAAAAGAAAAACAAGCTCACCTTTTGAAATTCCTCTGTCTCGATGATTTTCGGATCTACTAATTCCGCCTTTTTGCGCAAAACAGGATCGCCAATCTGACAAATGTCATCGTAAGGAGCTTTCACGGTCGGAGTGGTTGGTACTGATTTTCGGTAGCGGATAGAAATAAGTTTCCTCAAGCTTTTAAAACTGAGACAACGTATATTATCATTTTGCACGTTCTTTACACACCTACTGATTAAACTAGTATGTCTGATCATTGCAATAACCACCATTTTCCGTAATATTTCTCAGATTTTGTAAGACAATCAGTAGGTTAGGCTACTGTAAATTTTATTATACTGTTACGTCTTATAGTTGGCACTATCTGCGATTACTATTTTCCTGTCCTTTTTAGCGCGGGAATTTACTATTAATAAGTATTTTAAAGCTAAATAAATACTTTTCTAAATCATGTAAAGTTCGCATTCTTTTTTATATCCATTAATTTTAATCTGCCGTTAGATAAAGATACTATTTAAGAAATATGTACGATTATTTGACCACAATATATTAAACTACCAATTAATTGAACGAAAATTTTCCATGTACTATTTTTATGTATTTAGCTACTCTGCATACAATATGTTATTCAAAACTTATTAGAAATTGAACATTTGTTTAAATATTTACATTTCTTATATTTAATTAAGCATTGTTTTATACAAGATTAATATTCGTACTCGTTGCGTAATGTCATGAGATTTCATCATTGTTTCCTACGAATGTAAATGAAAAAAAAATAAGAATATCAATGAGCTATAATTTGTGATATTTTATAACCTACGCGATAGAAACATTTCACTCTATCTGATGCATTTGTGCTGTCATATTTTGTATTGTTTATATTAATATTTTTTTGTGTTTCGCCGGTTAGTTCATACAAACATTTGGAAACATATCTTAAATTACAAAAATGGTAATTATTATTCACATATTGTTGCTCTACTTTAAAAATAAATGTCAGACACCTACTAATGTTATTTTTCTCTTGTTAGCTTAAGCATGGCACATTGAAACTAAATTGTGTAGGTGGTAATCCAATTAGTACTATCAGGGGTTTGTCAGCACAAGCTTCAGGCACAGGTAAGAGTGTATGTTTAAAACTTGGTAATCAAAATCCCAAACCAATTGTATTACCACCGGATACAATGCCTTCATCACCGCATCCAACGACTGAGCCCTATCCTCCAAAGAATCCTCTTATAGAAATACCAGGTTTTTGACATTAATCTAATTTAAATATAATAATAAATAGGCAATATAACGTATCAATGTAAATGTATTTCATTGTGAATTTACATAGTGTAAAGATAAATCAGTAGTTATTAAATGAATTCAGGCCCTATTGTCGAACCTGCATTGCCCCAGCAACAACCCCTGCCCCAGCCACAGCCCCAGCCCCAACCAGATTCTAAACCACCTCTTGAAATTCCAGTACCCAAAAGAAATTTAACAAGCAGTGATGTACAAGCAGATGACGTATTATTTAAAGATGTACGTAAGACATTTATAGATTTATTGCTCTGACATGCTTGTACGTTAGTTTATTTTCTTTTTTTTTGTAAATAAGATTGGAAATAAAGGTGTGATCACCTTAAACCGACCAAAAGTACTCAATGCTTTAAATTTATCAATGGTCGAGAAAATATATCCGGTATTGAAAAAGTGGGAAACATCTAAAAAATTAGTGATAGTAGAGGGTGCAGGGGAAAAAGCATTTTGTGCAGGAGGCGATGTAAAATCACTTGTTAATGCATTAAGGGAAAGTGAGAATAGTACATTGGGTGAAACGTTTTTCAAAAATGAATATACGTAAGTGACAAAGTATTATCGCATTGTGGGCTCCTATCAACGTCTAATGGTCATTTAGACTAAGTTTTTATATACATGTATATTAAACGTAGATTAAATCACCTCATTGGAACATATAAAATCCCATACGTGGCTGCAATAGATGGAATAACTATGGGAGGTGGTGTTGGCTTGTCTGTTCATGGTAAATATCGTATTGCAACAGAAAGAACATTATTTGCTATGCCAGAAACTGCAATAGGATTATTTCCTGATGTTGGTGGATCATATTTCTTACCCAGACTTCAGGGCAAATTGGGATTGTATCTTGGTTTAACTGGAGATCGATTAAAAGGTATTAAAAAGGAAATGTATGGCTACTTGTACATTTTAATGGATTAATAATAGCTTCCTGTATATATTAAAAGGCATTGACGTATTTCTTGCTGGTATCGCAACACACTTTGTTCCTTCCGCAAAGTTGTCAGATTTAAAACAAGATTTATTGACAATTGAACAACCTGATGTTAAGGAAGTCTTAAACAAGTATCAACCTGAACGATTAAATCAAGAATTCTCTTTAGCACCATATATGAGTAAAATTGATAAGTGTTTTTCTGTATCATCTATTGAAGAGTTAATACAGAGGTAAAACATTCTAATTTATTATATATATATTGGTAATTGTAATTTATCCTTACAAGGTACTTTAATACAATATTTTTATAAAGATTGAAAGAGGATAATTCAGAGTGGGCTGAGAAAACATTAAACATGTTATCGAAAGCATCTCCAACTTCTTTAAAAGTTACTATGCGTGCTATTCAAAGTGGGAGTACATTAAATCTGGCAGATTGTTTAAAAATGGAATATAGATTAGCATGCGCTGCTATGAGTAAAACTAGCGATTTTTGTGAAGGTACTTTATAGATGCTCTTGTACTTCCATTTATAATATTATTTTAAAAAACGACTTATTACTTTAGGTGTTAGAGCTCTTTTAATTGATAAAGATCAAAAGCCAAACTGGAAACCAAACAGCTTAACGGATGTAACGGATGATTATGTGAGCGAAAAGTTTCGAAAATTTCCAGAAGAAAAAGAATTGAAACTTTGATGTTAGATTAGAGCTATATAGAAGAAACTAGTACAAGTGGCAGTCATTAAATATAAAAACAATATGCTTTATTTGCAGAAAACAAAATATGTATAAGTACAATTACTACGCTGATACATAAAAAACTTCAACGTCCAAAATCTTTTTTGTTAATTTTTTNACTTCTAAAAAGAACGAACTAAAACGTAGCGAATAAATATTTTGTTTCACTCCTGTTTTATCCCTGTTTTTACTTTTAAAACAGAAGGGAACATACCAAATCAAATACATTAATATTTGTTTGAATTTCCAGAAGTTGTACATAAAATATTTCCAATATGATTAAAGTATTCGTGTTATAAAAAATAATCTTTAGAAACACTTGAAGTTCTTAAATAGTTTATTTCATTTATCAAAATGTTTATATCGTTTTTCAGCATGTCAAGTATTTCCATGATGTGGTTTGTAGAATGACAAAAATTTACAGAACTCGTATGGAATTTAAAAGATACGTATAGAATGGTGCTGTAGGCTCCACGTATTAAAACAAAAGAAAGTGTACAGTTCTATCACGTTCGTCAGTTTCGTTTTGGATATTTTTGCATTTGCACTGTTCTGTAATCTGTTATTGCAGGTTTATAAATGATACTCCTTCCCTACTGGCCAATTCCCATAAAGGACACCTCTGTAGTGATATCCGATAGGAAAGGGAAATGTAATAAACTGCCAAGAATCTGAGTATTTAAATTATCGTATGCATTCAGTCAATGTACTGAGCAAGCCAGCGGAAGCCTTCACCATAGCCTTGTCTTTTCAGTACTGAGCACATAAATAATTCCAGTGGACGACCAGGAATTTCACTGCGGGAAACTTTCCCCTAAAATAGATAGTCATTAGATTATTCATGCATTTCAAAACTGTGTAATTCATTGTACTTACCTTTCCTGTTGTTTGACCAAATAAATTGAAGTAATTTCTGAGTTCATCCTCTGATGCTGCACCTGGTTTATCAATCTTATTACCTAGCACTAAAACTGGACATGCACTGAGTTGTTCATCAGTTAAAAGTGCATCAAATTCAGCTTTCGATTCTGGTAATCGACTTTTGTCACTTGCATCGACAAGAAACACTATTGCATCCACAGCAGGAAAATAGTCTTTCCAAACTCTTCTCGCTGTAATATATACGTTCAAAAATATAGCATCACACATAGTTACGATTAACATTTCAATGGATGAATTAATTTGTACCTTGAGGATGTCCTCCAAGATCGAATGTTGTGAACCTCATATTTCCGATAGAGAGTTCTTCTGATGCTAAAGTAGAAGAACATGTGTAATAATTCTCAAGAAAGATACTAAAATGTAGGAACGTATATATTTCTGAATATTAATTACTTGGGTGCAATGTAGGCACATGTTGAGCTAATCGATCATCTTTCAGCATGTGAAGTAATGTGGTTTTGCCTGCATTATCTAAACCGAGAAATAAGAGTTTGCCACTCTTTTTCCACAGACCTGGCAATCAGAAACATAAAATTATACAAAAGATATAAATAAGAACAATTTATGAATTTGCATTTTCTTTTCCATATCTTAAACAGAGGTAATTTATATAATACATAAAATAAAATATTACAGAAGTCCAAACTTACCAAGATAATTCAGAACTCCTGCAAACCAGTCCCAAATGAACATATTTGTAGATTTGAATGAATGTCACGTCCACTATGTACTAACTACTGAATGACTCTGCAACAATGAGTTGACAAGATTACACATTTGCAAGTGTAGTGTGTGATATGGAGCCTCCTTTTAAAAACTCATTCCAATGTGATTGGGCTGTACGTCTAAGTGATGTGACAAGCGGAGTATAGTAGCGAAGTACGAATAATAAGTGGCTCGTGGTAATGGTTATTTGCGTTGAAAAATAAACATTAAAATTGGTACCGTTCTCCCTTGTTTCACGCCAAATACGCGAGATACAGAATTTATATTTACGAACGTAGATTCTGTGGCCGATTACCATTAAAATGCAAGAGGTTTAGGAGTTAAACGATCTCACCTACTAATAACAGTTTTATAATGTTTCGTTCACCACCACCAGAAAACGCAAAAATTGCAGCTGGGTCAGAAAAGCGTTCGCATGGTATAATTACACAAAACTTGTTCCTCTGCCGCTGAACCGTAACGTACCCTAAGAGAAAAAATAGAACGAAGGTGCAGAATCGTGCAGAGGACGAAGAAAAAGTGCTTTTCTTGCTATAGAAAGCACAGCTTCACAGCGAGACTAGTTGGCTGGCAGTTGGCACTGATGACGTCTACTTCCGTCTGCCATATTGTTTGAATATATACTGTTTCATAAGCGCGCATTTTGAGGTCAATTATTTCTAATTTTATTCCATTCCCGAAGCTAATGAATTCTTTCACAGGTCAACATTACAATGCTTATTTTCTCATTTATTCACCTTATGTAAGTTCATGTGTGCTGGAGATATCATAATACTTCATACAAAAATTATAACAACTATTTACAGTATGATTAAAATAATATACATATATGGACTTGAAACGTTACGAGAATGCAAATTAGATAATCTTTTAAACTTTTGAAGATAACTAACTTCAGATTTCTAATGACTGACAAACACATATGCCTACTTATACATATATACAGTATACACATAAATCTTGTCGTCTTACCTGGTCTTACCTTAACCTAATCGAAGTTCTTTCACATAAAGTGATGACAATGTTAACAGGTAATCTGAATTTTGCATTAATTCAGTTAAATATTATTTACCTTTTGGAAGAATACTTTGGACACGAATAAGCAAGCATGATAAAGCACATTATGGAATTCTGTGTACATAGATAATTGTTGATAACCTAAAACCGAATATAATTCATATTATTTTCTTTTATTTAACATTTACAGGATGGTTGACGTCAACTTTACGTTCTACGTATAATTACAGCGCTGGATACAATGCGTGCTGTAATATATTTATGCAGACACGAAATTATGCAGCTAGGAGAGGAACTAGAGAAAAGAGAGATAAACTGAAGAAGAAGAAAGCTAAAGCAGTTGTTGAAAAAGTAGGATTTATCCCCCACAATATGCGTAATAAAGTGTAAATATTTCATGACATTCATTTCTGTATAATATATTATAACATAGTTACTAACTAGTTGTATAATTTGTTAATAGAGTAAAGAAGACAATTTCTCCGCTTTCCGTGATAGATGATAGTTGGAAACGGGAAGCGATTGATGATGTGTGGGTAGTAAAGTATCATCAGTACCCTGTTTATTCTTTAGAGGAAGCTATAAAATGTCATCGAGAATTACATCATCCAACTATGATGAATAAACCCAATGTCCCTTTAACTGCTATAATAGATTTAGACTTGAAGGTAAGAAAGATATATTTGTATAACAGTCTCATAAAAACTGAATTCCAAGTAAAAATAATTTTCTGAAATATTTATCACAGCGTGAGAAGAAGAACAGATTCGTTGAAAAATTTGCAAGGGTAGTCGATACGCCGCATACATTTAAACAAGTAGGAGAGTTAAGAACAGTACTAGCATTTTGCAAAAGTCCTACAGAACAAGAGAATGCAAGAAATGCTGGAGCAGATTTTGTTGGCGGTGCTGAATTAATAAAACAAATTCAGGTGAGCCAAATGAATAAACTGTATGAATGATATATAATAAATTATGAATAATAAGATTTGTATGGTATTTCATTTGTTATAGACTGGAGCATTCACTTTTAGAGAGTACCAGCATATCATTGCTCATGCAGATATATTAACTGATTTATTATTAATCAGAGGTTTACTAAAAAGGAAATTTCCAAATATAAAAGCAGGTAAATAAATACATTCCTAAATATTTATTTAATAGATATTATTGGAATCGAAATCTTTTAGGAACGTTGGGTAATGATATGTCTAAACTTATTACAAGATTCAAGGATGGAATCCATTATACTGCAGTTCCTGATGCGGTTCATAAAGAATACGGTCGAATTGATGCAGTCTTTGGTTTGGTAAATTTATAACATAATTTAAAATATAAGAAAAATCCTTAAAAAAATACATATAGGTACTTCATGTATTTATTATTTTGCGTTAGCTTGATATGGATACAAAACAGTTGGAGGAAAACTTTGACTCATTGCTTAAGGATATCGAAGTAATGAAACCAAAGCCTGATGAATCCTATATCAAGAGGTATACATCTGTAGAATGGTGAGCGGCCGTGGTGGTGAGAACGGTGGAGGGGCGACGGCTCACCTACCTGCCGGTCGAGAGCTCAGTCGGTGTCCGCCAGGTTGAAAATCCGTGACTTCTCCTGCTCGTTTTGCGCGTGGCTCCTTACCGTGTCGCCGAAACGGCGCGAAAAAAGTTAAAAACGAAAACATGCAACGCGGCGAGGCCCGCGTCGTCGACGTATAATTTTAAATCGGCGCCCGGCCGAGCAGCGCGGTCACCGCTCGAATCGGTGAGGACCGATCGCGTTTTTCTCGAGTCCCGAGGGAAAAAAAGACGCGCTCGCGATCCGCGTTTTTCACGCGGGAACTTGATAACGGTGCGTGAGAGTGCGCGGTACGATATATACACACGCGCGCGATCCCACGCGTGTCGCGTACGGAGGACGTGTGTGTGCTAGTACATGTGTGTGATCTGTGTTTTGACTGTGGCACCGGTTTCGACGCCGAGTCTATTTGCATACGTGAATCCCGGATTGTGACAAATTCGGCCAACGCAGTTCATTGTTACCGGCCACCTTGTGCATAGACATGCTCGGATTGGAGAACAGTAGATAGTGGCACTGGGTGATACACCGACGCATACGATACACGCAGGAACAGACAGCCGCAGAATAGTCATGGTGAGTACCAGAACATGTCTGAGCACTTTTAAACCGTAGCGTTGTAATACATTTAATATAATATATTTACCTAGTTTACAAATAGCCCGATACTTTATATCGATAGGTCAAAAGTGCATTATCCATATTCTATTTTCGGAGTTCACTTAATCTCTTTATAAAATTTAATTTATTAGTAGCTGTGTGTGAAGAATTATTTAAAATATTACGTGACCCGATTTTATTCTAAATAGGAAAGAAACATTGAATAGAATAGAATACAATGAAGTTTATTTTTCCTCCTAAGGAGAACAATCAGTAAACGTATCGTAAATCTGGATGTAATTCAAATTAAAATAATTTCAATATAATTGCTAATTTACATAGTTAATTAAGTTTAAGATGATTTACTAAGCTCATTGAATTGTATGAGTCTACGTCGAAGACTCAATTGTTTGCAAAATAAAAAGGATAGAGACCATAAGGGAGCGAATATTTCGCTTGGCTTGGAATACGCATTCGTATCACGTGCAATGTCCTTTAAATTCGCTCCGTTGCGTGTACCTTATCGTCCGAGAGGCAACCTTCGGTTCGAATTGAATGTAAGCAGTAGCCGTTAACAGCCAAATCCCCGGCATGCATCGTTTAATTACGTTTGCATAAAACTGTTCAATATACAAGTGTATTTCATTAAACCGTGAAATTGAGCCGAGCCCGACAGGTGAAAGCGTTTTGTTTATGCGCCAAGCCGGGGCACGAAAAGGTAGCCGTACGCAAAGTCGAATTCTTGTATATGCCGACAACATTCTTACCGTTTAACGGGTAAAGAGAACGAGCCAGCAGCAACAATCGTTCAATCGTGTTGCTGGTAATAACAGAGTCGCGAACGTGTCATGCCGCACCGGTGCGCTGCTTTGATTGACGTTTTCTAACCAGACGATACTGATAAATTGCTGTTATATTCATAAAAATGGTAAATGTGAACATGAAATTATGATTGGATTGTAAGATAAAAGAGGATTTTTCATTTTAACGTATCCTTCGAATACGTTTATAAAATGTAAAGTCACACCTCTAAACCAACGTTTATCTCCAATGCTACAAATAATGAATAGGCATTGCATATACGTTTGTTGGATGTAACTGCAATTTTCTGAAACATCTCTCAGAAGATATCATTCAGCACATTTTATTAACGATATAAAATTATTGCTCTGTATACGCGTGCTCCATAGATCATTCGGTTAGTCAACCGGTGCGAAGCCAGGTTCTAGAATCAAATGCAAATAATGGCTTGAGGGCTGCGTATGTATCTTCGCTCCGCCGACATTTCCTTTCCTGTGTATCCACCAACACATGTTCCTGCTCTAATTGCATCGTAATAATTATGCAACGCGAACAAAAATATTTCGTACGACGCTTCCAGGCATCCGATTGACTCGGATGAAAAATCACTCTCAATAATTGAACTGTAAACAGAAATAGTCGGTCGTAACAGTGATTGCCAATATCGTATCTTTGCTCCTACGCTAAAAGAAATCAAGCGAAACGCAAAAGCTTTTTTTTTAATTAGAAGGTACTATGAATTCCAATATCCGTTTCATTTGCAATCTCCGAAGTATCGGAAACCTTTCGCCTGTATACTTAAGTTCAGGAAGCAGTTGAAAGCCATTCAAATAGTAGGGATTCTACAATTTACCCCCAGGAAATCACATTTCCCCAATTCGTATTCAAATCCAGGAAACAGTGTACGTCCTTTAATTTATCGTTCACCACGTCAATTTTCAAACCGCGGTATTTACGTAACCGATGTCGCGCAAGGAACACAGATCGGACGAAGAAAAACGCCTTCTTCCGCAGTACAATTAATTAGAAAGCATGTAGGAGTTCCCCGAGTCATTTCACCCGATTATATCTCAATCGATGTCTTTGTAATTTATCTCGCTGAGCCGCGATTACCCGCTTCCCGCATCCACGCGTCTATTCGCTATTCCTTCGGTTGTCGGAAGTAACGTGAAGCAAGACGATAATAATCCCGATCTAACATTCTGTCAATGTGATCTTCATCTAAACAGCCGGCTGTAACAGAGATCCCGCACGTGATGGCTACGTGTGATTTACTTTCGTTACCGTTACCTGACATAGTTATGGACCTCAGAGTACGTTACGTTCTGAATTATTGCAAAAGTCTCCGCTCTTTTCTATTTATAAGAATCGAACGTAGCTGTTTATTATTCTTTTAATTCACGAATCGACGGAGTAATTTGTTACCTCTGTAAAAATCGTGATTATTTATGTGGTAAGGCGAGACGCTGGAACCTGACGAGGAACAAAAGTGCAAAAGGTTAACGTCGATCGCGACAAGTTTTTCTCGGTTCGACAGCCTTCCGATAGAAAACCAGCTTATCCACTTTGCCGCAGGTTTCAGAACTCTCCCGTGGTCGGCTTATAAACTGCCGCGAGCAGTGTTCATTTAAATTAAGAGATCCTTCACATTTAAATTAAGAGACGCGCGAAAGGTTCGAGCCAGGCGGACACGGAATCCGACGTCTGGTTTGTATAAAAAAATTTCTGCCCTTTTTCACGGGAAACTTGCGTGAAAGATAAGTGGAAAAGAGGATAAAGGGAACGGGAGGCGGGGAGCAGGTATCGGTCTGGGAAAAATGACAGATACGAAATACGGTTACTGTACTAGTCGACCGGTTCTTCTTGTTACTAACTTCCTCTGCGCGACATATACTGGGTGACAATTGTGAACAAAGTCTCACTGACACTCTCTTCTCTATACCCGGTGACACCACGAATATTAGCGCCGCTAGTACTGCCGTAGAATTATTAATTCGAAGATTTGTTTCAATTTTCTTGTATACAAGCAAACCTGCGTCCAACACTTTTATTTTCTAACAGTGTTAAAAAGTTTAATTGTACAAATTAGAATGAAGCGGTTTTAAAACTATTGATGCTTGAATGTGCATTAAATCAAGCGTAAAACGCAGTGTGTGTGTGTGTGTATGTAAAAGTATTGCACGAAATTGGACAAAAAGCGGTCTATTCTACCGGGGAAAGCGAAAGCAACGTGTACTAGTTCCGCCGGTGTGTTTTTACGTTTTGTATGAGTAGTTATTACGCAAGGCTGTTATCACAGACGAATACGAATGTGATTGGTGAATGTAAATTCGGCCTGATCACCGAAACGGGTTGGTCGAATTGTCAAATGTCACGGGTCGCGTACACCTGTCTCGCAATTAGGTAAGGTGAAAGCTGGGGACAGCCGATGGTGGCTGAGTAAATACTGTAAGTCAAACAGAATGGACTCCCCTGAGGAAATGTTCTGTATCGAAAAATTGAATCCGCAGTGTCTAATGCAAACTGACGGCAGAGTTCTAGGGCATGAAAACAGATATTATACGGGAGGCTCTTATTTCTGTGCGTTCGTACCGGTTAATAATTTATCGTTAGAGTAGCTCTGTATAAATCATGACGGGGAGTAAATCAAAATTAAGCCACGACGGAATTATAGCTTTTTGCCTGTACAATCTATTATAGATAATCGCGAGGTTGACGATAAATCGAGGCTCGATGTTCTACCAGCGAAGATGTCCGAGTTAATTCATACGCGACGAAATCTCGGCCCATTGCAGCTGCGACTGCTGGGATAATTAATTAAGCATCGATGCTGCGGATTAAATCGGATCCGAATAAACATATACAATTATAGAGACGTCTCAGGATGAATGTGTAGCTTCGCGGTCCAAGATAACGATCCGGGATTAACAAAGTTCCACCTACGATGGCACGTACGTGCACTTACGTGGTTCTAACAAAATAGCGAATTCTCATAGAGATTGAATTAACTCGGTAGGAACAGGGCTTTTCCCACGTCCGACACAAGCTGTTTTCGCGTGTTCGAAAATCTGCGACAACGATCACTAAACTTGGTAGATGCACCGGCAAGATAAACACGTTCCTGCTTCCTGCTTCTTAACAAACCCCGCGGTAACAATCGTCTGGGATCAGGATGTAAACGAAGAAATAAACGCTACTTATGGAAATGCATCGTCGCACGCGTTTCGCGAATACTATTCATTTCATTATTTCGCGTAATTAAAAAGCGTTGAGTACCGCGACGTGTCCTCGTCGAAATGTTCGCGCGTCACTTCAGCCACGTTCTCGTTCTCGTTTTGTTAATTCCATATACGAATTGACACAATACTCGACGATTTCGTGATTCATCGCTGCGTAACACTTCGCACAGCACCTCGTACCATGGAAATAGTGTGTCAGATCGAGATTCCTTATTTCAAAGAAATGTAATTACGTGCCTCTCGGCTGAATTTCTAGGAGTGAACTCCGCGACACGCTGAGTAATCGCGTATCAGAGTTGTCAGGAAAGTTTAATGGATCACTTGCGATTTCGCTCGGGTCTTAATTATTTGAAATCCCGGAATCTAGATCGCGATGTACGTAATACCGCGTCTCGCGATTTAACGCGAGAACTCGTCTCTGTGTGGATCTTCTTTCCCATCAGCGTTAATTAGAAACAGGAAGACGGTGCAGCCTGATATCCATTCGTACTAGAGAATATGTAGATGGCTCAAAAAGATGAACATTCTTTGAACTTCTTTGTACATAGTGAGTAGTATTGTCATATTCTATTTTTATGCTACAGATCAGGATGCTGTTGTATAAATATTAAATATACATTCCTCTTTTCTTCCTGATAGGAATCTGTGTTAGTTCATTGAAATTCTATTCAGTTTTTTCTTATACCCTCATTTCCTTCCCAAAGTACGCCAATTATTGGAAGAATAATTTTGAGATAGCAAACCATACCCTCGCGTCGAAACGGAACGGATGCCTTCGAGCGTAGCGATTTTTCGCGAGGAAGATGTAACCGTTCTGAGGCAAAATGACCGGGTGCATACGCGTTCCAGCTACGTAAAGAAGCGGGTTATATGAACGAATGTACAGTTACACGAATCGCCGAACTCGAAGAAGAGGCATCGAGGAGCCTCCGCGAG